AATGAGCTTTTGGATGACCTTGGAAAAGGCCTCAAAGATGGAGTGATTATAGATGGACGTGAGGTGGAATGTGACGGGGGCGTTTTCGAAGCCGTGGTCCGAGAGCTCGTCCTGGATGCGGATGGTGATGTCGCGCTGAATGTCGAGCTTGTAGTCGTCCGAGAGACCATCGACCTTGTGGATAAAGACCTCGATGTTGATGTTCGGGTAGAAGCGCTGGAGGTTCAGGACCGTGGCGTTGAGACGGGCTACGGCTTCGAGATAGTCGTCCTGCGCATCAATCACCCAGATGAGGGCGCCAATCTCGCCAAAGATGGCGTCCATATCAAAGTTTGGGTTCTCAAAGAAGTCAATCTGACCAGGGAAATCCCAGACCTGGTAGTCCATGAAGGATCTGAAGATAGTCAGTGGGACAGGTTGCTCGTCACATTGGCTTGGTTTGAGGCCTTACGCCATGGAGTCCTTTTGAATACGAGCTGTCGACTCCAGGAAAAGCGTCTCATTTGGCGGGAGCTTATGAAAGACGACGCTCGATATTGATGACTTGCCGCTCCTGCCATTGTAATTGGTATGTAATCCATATGAAGCACCGGCATGGAGGGATGACATACCTTCTTTGACCCATCAAAAGGAGTCTGGGCTTGCCCTTTGCAGGGGGGCCCGGAGGCATTTCTACCATCTTGCTCGCATCCTGCGGCTGCACTCCTTGACTCTGATCGTAGACACGCTGGAGTGTTAGCCTAGCTGGACTTAGACGGCCGTTTGATCGCAAAGAACCCCCGTAAGAAGAAACACCTAAGCCATCTACCGCTTGGGACAGCATGGAATCTATAGAACGGGGCGATTTGTTCATTTCGCAAGGGGGGGGGGGGATCGTGTTGAAAGGCAACCAGCTTTCTTCGATGCGTAACTCGTGTATGCAGACAAGTCACGAGGGCTCGAGTGTGAGCGACTTATAGTCTCGCCGGGCTGGTTGCAATGCCGTAGACTGCTTGCCCTTCTTTGTTTGTTGCTGTCTCGGGAAGATGGATGCCACAGACCGAGGGGACACTCGATGTTTGTGCGGATTCTTTGATGAGGTCGACCGGATCTCAAGCCTGGCAACGATCCGTGACGGGAATCGAGGCGAGTCTCTCAAACAAAACTTTTGCCAGCGAGGCCCTGGGAGCTCCCGCTTCCCTGGCTGACCTGCCACCAAACCCTCGCATCAACTCGCTCGCGGCTTCTCCAAGATGTCCCGATCTGAAAAGCTTGTTTTTCTCAGACACGTCGAAAGAATACGACCGCCATCGACGGACACACGCAGGAGAGATCTGCCGGCTCAAGGTCTGGCGCATCTTCGTAACAGAAAACGTGGCTGGGAAGCAGGGGCGGAAAGTTGAGAAAAAGTTGGCGTTCATGCGGTCTCCTTTCGAGAAGAATCATACGTCGATGCCCAAGAGCGTTGAACTAGCTTTGACTCGATGCTGATCTCACTGTCGTACAGACACCACATCATCCATGACACCGTGGCTCAGCCCTTCCCGCTTGATCTGACGAGGGACAGCGACCTGACTCCCCGTTCCCGCGGACGACCCATGCTGGCTCTACTGTTGTCCGATGACCTCCCTGGCATGACCATTGAGGTGACGCAGAAGGCCGACGCATTGCGTATGCTGACAATGTTCGAGTCGCTCAGAACTTCCGTGTAAGAAGTGAATCTGTCTCCTCAAACGAGCTTGGGTCTGCTATGGAGCGTTCGAACCAAGAGTCAACCCTCAGTAGGCATATCCCGGATAGTCATATGGTTGATTCGTCTTGTATTCGGGACTGGATTGTCGAAGCCTCACCGGGGGGGCGTAAATGGTGTATGAAAAGGCAGGGCAAAAAGAGCCGCAGTAGCTTGGGTAGGAAATGAAGACCATGACACTAAGAAACTGTAAGGACTCACTTCCATTTTCCACCAAGACTCCCCAAACTATTTCCTTCAGGTCCTGCCGTTTAGTTCACGAGACGAGCCTGCTTTGCGCCGTTGAGCAGGTCAATCGTTGTCGAGCCTCAGTCGTTGGGTCGCCTCACTCCACAGCGGCGGCCGCTGATAGGACCCTTTCGTTTCCCAAAATGGACGCTGACACAGGCAGGTGCGAAAATATGTGCCGCTCGCTTGCTTGGTAGAACCCCTTCCGACCCTCCGACAGTGGTTGTAGAGAAGCTGAGTAAAGAAGCCCTCTTGCGTTTGGGTACGGGATGTTAGAGAGGTTCCGGCCTATCAACGGATGCGTATCTATATGCCGTGACCGTTTCCAGGTTGCATATCAGACGTGTGGAGCGGGCAAGGCGGGCGGGCGGGCGAGGCAATCAAACACTACTAAGGTATCCGTACTGCGTGAGTGGTAAGGTGGTAGCGGAGAAATGACGATGCAGGAGCAGCGATAAGATAACGTAAACATTGAGTTGATGAAAACCCCGTGCTGAGCGCGTTTGAGCGGGCAGCGCTGGCAATTTAAGCGAGACCCACCTTGCAGGTTCCAAGGTACTAACGTACCTACCTACTTCAATCAGACTGTACTGTCACCCCATTCATCTCATCGCAAAAGGCATACTTGCTTGCATTCACCACCCCCACCTCAATTGATGAGTCGACAGGTTGCCAATGAGATTTCCGGGACCAAGTTCATCGCACAGATTTCTAACGGAGCTTCGTGAAGCCCGGTAGAATCGGATAACGTCGACCAAGGAGGCATTTCCAAAACAATCTGTCGTCGAAGAAGTTATAGCACTTGATGTCTCAAGTGCTATTGGCTAATTACTTGAACGTCACTTAGGCGAAGGACATGGTCCAAAAGATGGTTGATGATCAATGTGATGTAATTAGTGAATGCCTACTTTTGGCACGTACGAGCTTGATTGAGACGAGTACAGATCAGTCTATCTCCCAATCATAGCTCCTACTATTAGACAGAACAGATACGATTACAAATGGTTGAATTCCAAGACTATGACTCCAGCATGCCCGAGCGGGCTGTAATGCAGAACTCCGTCTCCCTTTTTATCGATGCAATGCTCTGTTTCTTGACCTCGTCAAGTTTCCAATTTGACCACTGCTCCAGACCCGATAATGAGCACAACACAAAACAAAGAGAAAGAGGGACTTCAGTTGGGCGAGGGAAGTAGAGCCACCATCTACGATGCCACGGTGGGCATCGGCGCGGGCGTGTTCCTGGGAGAGCGAGAGAACAGGGAAGTGACGAAGCTGCTCTTGCGCTTTGCCACCTTGGACTTCTTGAGAGATGCAGAAGTGTTGGTAGGTGCCTTCTCAACTTCCTTGATAGGCGCATCCGACTTCTCATCGGGAACCGGGGCCGTGGTCTTGTTGGCGTGGGCCTCGGGGATGGGGGGGATCGGAGGCGCATCGGTTGCGCTGTGCGGAGGAGTAAGCTCATGAGGAGGAGGCATAACTGAATCTTTGCGAGGAGCAACAGATTCTCTTCTAAAGTCAAAGACAGAGCCCTTCCTGCCTCCGACAATGGAGCCGTGGCGCAGAGCTGACATGGACTGCAAGTCTGTTAATATCTCTCATATTCACTCATGATTTTCATAGTACGTACCTTGCCACTAATACTCTTGCGGTTGCGACCACGGCGCTCGGCAATGGTCTCTTCCTCCTCGCCGGTCATCTCTGCAATGTGAGAAGCGGTAGTCTTGCTATTAACAGCCATGTTCTCCGCAGGAACTTCGACGAACTTGACGAATCCACGGACGGGCGCAACGCCGAGAGCTTCGTGGAGGTGCTTCTGAAGCAGAGCCGTGTTCCTCTTGTTCTTGGTAACGCCGACCTCGAGCGGTAATGCGTGAATCGACATGGTGTAGGCCGGTTCAAAGGTACCTCCAAAGAGCATGCAAGCTCCATGCTGCAGGTTGACCACGATCGAAGTTACTGGCCGCTGGTACCTAACCGACAGCTGGTATGAGAAGTCCGTGATGAAACTGAACTCGTCGTTGATCTAGGAAAATGAATTAGTTGAAGCTCTCCACTCGTGACGCGGGGACAGTACATACAATGACGTTGGTGCGGAGCTCTGCCATTACGATGGCCTCAGCATAGGCGCGGTCCTTGATCACATTGGACTCCCTATCGCCCTGGAAAGCCTCCTCGTAGTAAGAGCTGCGGCGCTTGGCCATGTCGGCTTGCGTCTTGGATTTTCTATTGCTGTTGCGAGTATCGCCGGGCAAAGAGTGAATGACGTCTCTGGTAAGGCCGTCTCCCTCGACAATAGGAGTGGGTGCGGTGGAGGGACGACGACTCATCCGTCTCTCAGCAAAAGACATACCGCCGACCTGCGAAAGACGTTTGTTCTCGGGGGTGACGGGTGGGTGAGAGTTGGTCGTGCTAGGGGTGACAGAGTCCGCGGGAGGGGAAGAAGGCGGGGAGACAGGGTCAGCCATTTTCTGCGACGATGTTCGAAGGCCCGAAGCTGAGATAAAGGTGTTTCGACGGTGCTTAAGAATTGGGCTGATGTATCAGACGTGGCTGTCTGGGAACGGCGTCTTTCACTAGTAGCGGCCGTGTTAGTGTCGTCCATCGCCCATAAACCACCTAGCTCAACACGTACCGAATAGAGACCAACCGCTATCGTCGAGTGATGTTTAGCGAACTGAGAAAGTCTGGACGACTAGATTCCCCTTGGACTTGGCGTAATATGTTCAGCTGTCAAGAGTGCAGTGTAGATAGGTCGAGCGGTCGACGCGCACGGAGTCTCTCGTACTCGAGGCGGCTAGGGCTAGAAACAGTCGCCGAAAGGATGATAAAGGCGCAGAAGGTCGATGCAAAGGACCAGCCACTGATAGAAGTCGATTTGCCGATCTTACAAGATGTGGCAAGGGGACGAGACGCGCTGGGCGGAATACAGGCGGAGTTCCGAGGGTGTTTGATACGGGAAACAAACAGCTGGACAAGCGAATACCAAAAAAACCATGATCCGACTGCCTGGTGACTCGGGGGACTATTATATGAGGTGAAGATGGCTGGTGCTAGCTGTTGCTGGTCGTCAGCCGGAGGAGCTATGGGGGCGCGAGTCGTTGGGACGGAATCGATGCAGAGGCGGTTAGCCACCCAGAAACGCGAGGAAATGGTTGAAAACGGAAAAAGCCAAGGCCAGATGCGCACTCTACGTCTTTCTTCCCACTTAACGAAGCCCGGTTTCAACGCAAGACAGGTCGATCAGAACGAACGGAAGGAGGAAAGATGGAGAAAGAAAGCGGGCTGGACTGAACTGGACTGGACGAAGCTTGCCCAAGCTCGCATCTTCTTTTGCCTCACTTGGATACCGGTGCTCTCTGATTTCAGGGTACGTTACGTAGGTAGGGCTACTTGCCTCATCTAGTACTTCAATTGGTATGGGAAAGATTCGGTAGCAGACCTTAGATTATGTGGCCAGGTAACAAACTACTTGAACTACTCTAGAGCGAATGTGTGGGAGGGCTGCACCTCATGTTGATTGACCACGCGATGTCTGGAGGCGAGGCATGGCCGTGTTACCTAAAGTTGTCTACGGCTGGACTACAACGTGTGTGTTGCCAGGGTTCTCCGTTGATTGCGACCATGGAGTTTGGATGTGGGTGGCACATGAAGTGAACAACCTGGAAACCCGCAATCATCCTACCGTGCCTTGGTTCATTCATACCTTACCTCTGCCATTCTCGGCAGTGTTGCCCGCTGCAGCCCTCAATTTATCAAGCTACATGTCTGCGACACGAGAGATTGCTTGGGATTCCGCAGGTCTGGAGCCTTCCCGCTGCCGTCAGTGCTAATGTGGCATGGGCCAGAGACATGGTCAAAAGCAGTCTGGATACCAGAAATTCAGGGTTCAGTACACGAGGGCCGCTCTGGAATGTAGTAGCGCCTAAATCGGTCTACGGTACGTCGGTAGTAGAGTGTGGTGCCTGAAATATCGGTAGACGAGAGCGAGAAGGGTAAGGTCAAAGGCACGCCGCAGCCAGCTGCTCGGCCAGCCGCATCATGGACTGTGCGACATCCGGAAGGCGCTGACAAGAGAGGGAGAAAGAAATTGTCTTGTTTGCTGATTTCGCGTGGTTTGTGGGGTGGCAAGTCTGCTTCCTCTGGGCTCTGGAGCCGTCTGGACTGGCTGGGCAAGCTCACGGTTGGAGGGTTGGTCCGAAGTAGTCGAGTCCGTCACGTCCGTCTGGCTCCATCCTTCGGTTCTGATTGCGCCGTCTTGACAGGAACAAGGCCGGGTCAAAGGCGAATAAGTCAATACAATGGAGATGGTGATTAACAACAGGCGAGTGTGTTTCTGCTGGGTTCGACGGAGTTGGTAAAGATTGGACGGAATGACTATGTTTCCGGGTAGTCTAAAACATGGGAAATGGGAAGCCATTGGCAGTCATGAGTGGGCACTGGAGCAAACGAGGTACCTTCATAGGTGCAGGTGCAGATACGCTAGGGTACGTACCGGAGAAAAGATGAGAGGTGGATCACGCTAAGGATGGGGTTATGAGCAGAATTCACGGCCACTTTCTGTTAGTCGAGGGCCAAAGCGGCGCTCATTTTGATTCTTCCATGTTCATCCCAAGTCCCCAAGTCCAACTTCACCAAGCACACTGTACGCGCTGTGCTTTCGGGCCAATCGTTCCGCGTCGACCTGTCGCCCGGCAGCGCCTAGCCGCCCTAGCCGTGGTCGTCAGTCGTGCGTCTAACTTGGTGTAGCGACTCCCGAGTCCCCCTACGACCCTTCACTCCGGTTTGGCTGTCTCTCGAGTCTTTGGTGGCTTGAAGGCGTCTCACTGAAACTCAAAGATAGGGGACAAGCTCTCTCCAAGATAGGAGGATGGTTTCCAGCGCCCAAGGGACTTACAGTCGTTTATCAAGGGGTTCAAGCGGTCTGAGCGAGACTTCACCTTGACTCTTTTACCGACAAGATTATAAGCTTGAAACTCGTTCGCCTATGGCCCAAACCCTCGCTTGCTACTTTGCGTAGACTCGAGGATTACATGGATAAGTAGCAACAAAAATCTACATGCCGATATCCTTAGAGGGGCGGCTAAGCATATCGTGCCGGAGCAGGGGCGGCCAGCTCCATCGACCCTTATCCACTCCAGTGCAGTAGCACTTCGTCCGCAAACGGTCATAATCGAGGAACTTCTCAGGTTTCACCAACTTAAATGCACGTTGAGGATACACCTGCGTCAGCGGACACTCGAGTGGCGGCTTGTAGATCCCCTGGTGGCTGCAAGCTTCAAGCTGCTAGACCTCGGGGAATGCCGCATGCAGCCTTCGATCGAGGAGCATAGCTGCTAAAAGGATGAAAATCGGATCAAACCCTGAGTTGGTACCGGCAAGTCGAGAAGCGCCATTCACTTTTGCAGACGAGGGACGCGAAAACTTCAGAAAACATTGAATAATTGGATACCTACGCTGATACGTGACGTAGTTGGCTCCCACCTCTGCTAATGCTACACATCCTTGACGCCTGATTACAAGCATGGAAAACTTCCGTTTCCGGCTTCCTCTTTATCCCCTGGACCCAACCTGTGGATACATAGCAGACGACGACCGTTAACCTAGGCCGATTGAACGAACACTCAGCCGCTCCTCTCAGTGGTGATCGCCCTCGACGTCGCGGACTGATGAAGGCACCGGGCTGCCAGACTTGCGCTGCTCCAGTACTACTCTGTTGGACTTGCTAATGTACCGCTCGAGCATCATCTGATAGCCGCCCATTCCCACGATGATGGCCTCGATCGGGATCAGCAGGATGGACAGGTAGAGGCCCGCCTTGCTTTGCTTGCAGAGGGTACCGAAATGCGGCCTCGTCATCATCACAACATCGGACCAGCGGCAGCTCCAGCTCTGTAGGGTGTCGACCGTGATCGATGCGTTGATGCTGTAGAAGAAGGACATGGCAATGATCGATGCCACCAATCCAACCGATGGGGCGGCCACTGCCAATGAGTTGTGGATGAGAGTTTGACCACGCAGCTTTTTGATGTCAGTCTGAGCTGACTTCCTAAAGGTACGATGTCAAAAAGCAGACCTGACTTACGCTTTGAACTCGACTGAAAAGGAGAGAGACGAGATTGACGATTATGAGAATGGAGCTCCCAACCACGAGCGCGACTGTTGGACGCAAGTCAAAGGCGTCCGGCCACAGCGGAAGCATGAAGCCGGCTGGTACATGGGTGGCATCGTAGACAGCCAGGGCATCTGCTGATGTACCAAGGATGGTGATGCTCATGAGAAGGGCTACAGCCGTCAAGCTGACTCTTGCAGTATCGACCGTCTTGAGAAGACGTGCGTGAGGAGGGTAGTGAGCGTCATCAGAATCGACCTCAAAGTCCGAGGTTTGCGTGACGTTCTTGAGATCGGAAGACATGGCTAAAGAGAAAGTCGTGAAATATTGTCGTAAAATGAGGTGTATTACAATGGAGAATGACTAGACGTAATGTGAGAAACAATCTCCAGGAAAGAAAATACGTAAGAAAAGAGAAAATGGGATGGCAGTCAGGCAGTTGTGTGGTTTTCCAGTATCACAGACCTACGAAAGTGCGATCATGGAGCGTACATATACAACCTCTCCATAGCCTGACTACGCGCCGTGTGCCGTGTCTAGGCACGGCACGTAATCTTGAACACACATGGGGAAAGAAAGGTAGTGTCCAAAATTATCGTGACGAGCGTTGCGCCGATGCAAGATAGCCGCGCTGGCGACATCTCGGGGCTCTGAGGGAGGCGATCATCGGGCACCCCTGAACAGCCGGTGAGCTTCACATTGGTCAGAAGCCCGCAAATGCCGGTCCCATTGGCGGTCATCCCCGGCGCTTAAAATGGCGGGAGGCCAATGATAAGGTGCAGATAACCTCGTTTCGAAAATCGAAACAAGAACGCTTATTCGCTGATCAGGATGTGACCACAATCGAGGTTGCTGCAAGTCAGTGATAATAGAATGAGATTTTGATGTTGGAGGTTCTTATTTGCCGCCGTCAAAAGGAATCCGAGGATTAAGCTCACGTCAAGCGGGAAGAGTGGAGATGAAATGCACTCCCGGCATCCTTGATCCAGGCCAGGCGACTTACCTTAGGTAAGCTTCTTTTGTTTTCACCTGATGAACGGGAAGTGCCATGGGGAAAGTGGGGCTATCACGTGATACTTTTTTCCTACCTACTCTATTGACAACTGGTTGGCTGCGTCACCAGCTGGCGAGTCAAGTTGACCTTGTTCATCTCCATATTGGGACGGCTTACCATCCACTCCATCCCACGCCGACGCCGACGAAAAAGAAATGCGCTCCTTCGTATCTGCAAAACCAATATACAACTTCGCCAGCTGGATTCCACGAAAGGCTGCCCAACTTGAGCGTCAGATTGTGAAGCCTGCTGTTGGTCTCTCTTCTTTGAGGCCTGATGACATACACGGACACGGAACTACAAGGTTGCGGAGTACGGGCACGGAGATTGGACGAGACAACTGATGGTCACTGCGACGTTGTTCGACACGTTCGTTCCTGAAGGCTGGATTGCGATGAACTCTCCATGACCACGAGTGTGTCTCATCTCTGAGCTGCGACATGCAGCACACTGCTCAACCAATGGCGTTTCCACCTTCCGAGAGCGATGGTAATGATTCCACATCACCAGGGGCGTCTGGACGACAGGGTATCAGACCCCTCCACAAAAGGGTGAGCTAAGCAAGCAATTGTATTCGTACATACAACAAGAAGAACTGCAGGCTTGCAGATGAGGCTGTACCAACCTTGCAGCCGGCTGCGGTTATCAAACTGATGTTGGGGCTGTCAAAACTCTGCAGCCATCAATAAGCCGGCATGTCGGACTAGAAATGACGACTACTTACAGCGGCACCTAGACACGGATAGCGGCCATTGTATGGTTTTAGAGAGCATTGATCCGAACTCCATGTCGGTTTATCGCCGGCACACGAAGCTCTTTGCGGCACCAGCCTCGTCCAAAGGTCTTTCACAGGTAGGTAAGACGACCATACCTTTGGGCCCAGTCCGGCCTAGTTCTTGGCCTCCACTGCAAGAGACATTGGCGTCCGCCGGGTAGGGCCGACTGCTCCGCATGTCAACAATTGTCTGCACTAGCCCGCGGGCCATTAACGGACAAAGTAGCGGGCCAGCGGCCGAACCTAGCTGATACCCCAGCTCGTCCAGGGTGTCAGAACAGTTTGGACAGACTAGCGAACCAGTCTTCAGTTGGCGAACGATGAACTTGGCAGACGTGACTGCACATCGGTGGGAAGCGAGAGTTTAGGTGCTTGGCTCTCAACGTCCACCGGGTGTGGAATGTCGAGCAAGCCATCGTCAGCACATTAGCGAAAGCCAAAGGTCTCAAGGTTGCCAGCTACAGCACTGCGGCTACCGTACTCAGCTGGCTACTGCAAGTATTGGCCCAGGACTCGGAGTTCGGCAGCCAGAGACTGTGGGGTGACGGTTCGCCCATTCAAGTCGGCTACGAAGTGACAGGTCGAATCGCCGACTCAAGTCTCACCGTGGCGCCACGGGGATTCACTGCGGCACGGCTCCCAAGTCCATCCCTCTGGATTTGGGTGTCCCAGATGCTCGGGTTGACTCCTGTTGCACCATCAAGATGCATTGCAGCAGGTCAGTCAGTCGTTGATCCATGTCCCGCATGGCAGACACGATATTTTTCTGCCTCTTTGTGCGAATTACAGAGTATCATTGGGTTTTGACAGGCGACATTGTCCTCCTTGCAGCAGGGTTTCTCTGAATGTCATCCAATACAGCAACTTTAAAAGTCCGGACCAGGACGGGACTACGTACTCCGCTTCAGCTGAGATTGTCTATAGCCAAGCGAGGGATACGACGCTTGAGAACCACCCAAATTCAATGGTTCGTCAGAAAGGCCCTGGTTCAACACACAGACATACAGACTACAGCATAAGCAGACTGCAGCGGCCACCGAGACATCCCCTGTCCAGGCCCCTGACCCCTGGCTCAGCCCAACTGACTGGAACCAACCAGGCGCTCATCACCCGTCATTGCATTCTAATGATCTACAGACCAACTTACGGCCGGGCCGGTCGAATTCCTTTCTTTCGACTCCCGGGAGGACCAAACAGGCACACAAAACTCAGGAAAGCAGGTAACAGCGGACGGGAATCCTGATTGCCCACACAGGTGCTAGCCAGGCCCAGCAAGCCCTCCTTGTCTATCCGCAGCATTTTCACATGTGCCTGATGGGTCCGGCCCATCACAATTCGCACCGCTTTGGCTTTCCCAGCAGCGCTCCCGCAGATCTGCACCCCTTGGCCCGAACTCGAGACTCCCAAGGCTTCTATATTTTACCTGCATTGCAGAGAACCTCTCACACTCTTCTCTCACATTGAGATTAACGAGTATTCCATCTTCAAGGGTACATCGAACGTCATTGGCTCGAATACGGCAGAATATCATTGTAATTACGAGAGTCCTGAAGTCATGGCTCAGTGCCAATATCTCTCCAGTTCTATCGTGCAGACGGATGTTGACCATCCCTTAGAACGGCACCCTGCCCTCGAACTTCCCGACCACTTTGACAATTGACTATGGAGTACGGAGTACTATGTCACCGATGATACTCTAACTGGAATGGGAGAAATGGCCGTCAGAATCCTGCGAGCAGCAGCGCGAACATCCCTGGTCGCCCCGACCCAAAGCCTCGGGTTCTGGGCAGCCACACTTTCTTCCCTGACACACATATGCAGTCTGGGGGGTGTGTTCGTCAAGTGGTCATGAATCACGAAAAAGATGGCATGCACATAGCTTTCCCTCCTACCCCAGTGTTGTGAGGAGAACCGGGGCTGGGTATTTGTCAAAGAAGTCTAATGATGTCTCGGGTCGCTTTGGACCTTGTGGGACGCAGACTGGCAGGCATATCCTTTATCCTTTGTATCGTTTGCCCGGGATAGCGCTGGTACCCGCGGCGTCGCGGCCGATATAATAACCACTCACGCTTGCCACCCCTCCATCAACCTGTCGTCGTGTCCCGCACTGGCCTAACAAACACATCCGTTCGTTTCTCGGCATCCATTCTCACATTGCGGGACTTCGACGTTGCAAAACCATTCTGCTAGTCTCGCGCCAGGCCTCGCTTCATACAGATCATGTCAACCATCACGATAACCTCCGCTCCAAGAACGCGAACAACCGGCTGCCCCGCGCAAGCGATACCACCTCAGTCCTTAACCCAATTTGTACGTTTCAGATGCGTCGATCTCCCGTATAGCCCGTTGCCGCGCCCAGCTCCGTTGACCGAAGACATCACAGCATCTCTTCCCTAGGCTGCCCGTAGAACTCCGCCTCAAGATCTGGAACCTCAACCTCCCACCACCGCGGGTTGTGCCCATCCGGTGCGGTGCCAAGTCTCTCTCCTTCGCCTCCCACGCCCAGTCACCAAGGCCCTCGTCGAGCGGGTGTACCTCGTACACAGCCGTACCCACCAACCTCCACGCCTGCCATGAATCCCGCCTCGAGGCCCTCAAGTCGTACCACCTCAGCTTCGGCATGACGCGCAACCCGGGCCAAATCTTCTTCGACAAGGTCCATGATGTCCTCTACTTTGGCGCCCGCGACGGCTATATGGCCTCCGAGGCGCAATTTCGCACAGTCATGGCCCTCTGCGATCCCGAAGACATCTCACAAGTGCGCCGCCTTGCCATCAACGACTCGCTCTTCTGGGTCGACACAATGTACCAGTCCATGAGCGCCGCCAACCTGACGGTGGAGGTCCTCAAGCAGATCCGCGCGCGTATGCCCAAGCTGGAAGAGCTCGTCTTTGTGCCGCGGGACGAAAACCCTGTCTACAACGACGAGGTTGAGCTAGTGCCTGCAAATTCGAACGGCGTGCTCGAGCAGCAGATGGCGAGGCAAATGGAGGCGGCGATGAAGGCCGTTTGCGACTTATTTCCGGACTGGACACCGCCGCGGTGGTGTATTATGGCTCTCGGGTCGACGTAGCCCCCCCGGGATCACTTCGAATGATGGGGCCTTAACGGACCAGCGTATTCAATCCCGGTTCTCTTCAGTAAGGCAAGGCGTCGATGAAACGTCCGCCTTTTTTATGGGCAGGGAGGTGGATCTGCCACGAGCATGAACTTCAAGACTTTGTATTAGGCTGGTCAGACTGCATTTCAAGATACCCCTTTTGTCTTTTCTGCTATTTAAGCGTCATGGAACACTAGCAATGTATTGCGAAGAAATTGTTTCAGCTCTGTATTGATAGGGAGCATTTACGAGCCATGTGGGTGATATTTTTTAACCATGTAAAGCGGGAACAAGGGAAGTTTTTTCAGTTCTTTCATCGCACAGAGACGACTGTGATTGATGTTTGCCTTCCTCATTCGTCATTGAGGAAAATGGCTATTGAATCCATGTGGGTGATCTCATTAGAAATTGTCTTCTGGGCGAGTTTTGCTACTGAAAAACTACACGCTTGAGGAAGTGGGATGCAAGAGAAACGCATGTGAAAACCAATGAACATCATATTCAACATGACTTCCATCCCCTAACCCTTCCGCTCAAAATCTTCAACCCACCTTGCCATACCTATTAGCTAGCCTAATGTACGTCGGGCAGAACCTCGCAGTTTTAAGAATGCCATCATGTTCGAGTGTTGTGTGATGTGGGGGAACCAATACCGAGATGGCCGTCCCGTACATTGCTGAGACAAAGACGCAAGGAGTGGCGTGATGTTTGAATCTCTTTTCGAAAGTTGAGCCCGGATTAGGATAATGCTCACGACCACTTCAATTGGTTCCCTTATGGGCCTAGCAGGGAGTGACTTCGGAACTTCCGAGTTGGTAGCTTTGAAGGGTTATTTGAGAAGCATTGCAACTCGCGTTCTGAGCTTTGATGTGAATTTGTTATAGTCGTTTCATGATGTCTGTTAGAAGTAAACGGCATATGCGTAAGATTGACCAAGTATGTGAGGCTACTCAATCGGCGGAGATCAATCCAGATACAATGGCTACACTCATAAGATGGGTAAAGTCTCTTTCAGACACGGGGGTCTTGGTCTTGTCCTTCCACGCCTTCGCTATGTGCTGTATCGAGAGAATGATTCTATTATCCAGGGCAGTGGTGTGTTCGGGCATTCCTTGTTATAGATCAAATACATGGGTTTGGATCAGAAGAACGCCGTTCGGATCTACGGGTGTAACATGGGAGTGGCATAGATCCTCGCAAACAATTTCGCGAATCTAGTTGAATCCGCGAGATGTGACGGACAATTCTCAGCCTCAAACCTAGAGTTCGCGGCGGTAATTTCATGCCGAGCCAGCGCAAGAACTGAAGCAATCGCACCGACAATTTCGGCAATTTCATTCCTAGATCTACTTGGAACTCGGGCATGTTATCAAGACGCTTTGTCCACTGCAGTGGACCGTGAATACCATCAATGCCAGAAACAGTACTTAAGGAGGTTAGTTTTCCATACCACACGCCATGGCCAGAACGCTGGGCAGATGGATCGATCTCTTTCAAGTGACCTTCCAAAAGAGAGCCATTGCCTGCAGGCTTCTGGGTAACGTATTGGGTCCTTCTGGCCTTTCGAAATTCCTCAGCCAGTACGTATGTAACACCTTGCTATCTCGAATACTCCGTCCTTAACCATTCTGGTAGTGTTGTCGCGGAATAAACGGTGACAGAGGGAGACGAGGGAGGGAGGGAACGGCAGACAAAAAGACTGTGCAGTGAACCGACCAAGCGAACCGGCCAGGTCCATGTTCCTACAGAACATAAATTCTTCAAGCCGACGCTCCAGCTGGGTCTTCTTTGGTACTTTCTACTTGAGATTCATCATGTCGTGCCAACTTGAGTGCCTCGAGAAGGTCGTGAATAGGCTTTAATGTAGGATGGGTTCTCGGTGTGACCCCGTGGTGAGTGAGCACGAGAGTGGGAAGGAAAGAAGGTCTGCTTTCAAACCTAAGTATACTTTACTAAGAGTAGAGAACGGCAGATCAACTCTTCTCCATACATGAAACTAGATCTTGGCTTTGCGGTAGTCTTTCAAGTCCCCGCAACAAGGTACAAGAACCACCATACAACCCATTGATCTATCGCCTGCGGGCATTGGGCCGATCAATGGCTTGATATTCGGAAAGAAGACAGAACCCCAGCTGAGTGAGCATACTATTTTGACAGGGGCCGCGTTATGCCACGCGAATTACCAAGCTACAAAGTTCCGAAGTTCCCATTTATGCATGTATGTGTCTAAAGTATCCGTACAATCATTCACTATCACGATATAACGCTCTATCTTATAAAATTGGACCCCGATCTTCTGCAGGACTAATTCCCTCCTCATGCCCGTCATCCCTTAACAGACCCTGATGCTCGCCACCGCCGCCCTCTCTCGTGAGGCCGGTCTCGACACCCATATCTCTCGACAACCCACTCGTCCGCCGCGTCTCCTCTGCGCCATTGAGAACGTACCACACGTCCTTTTTGGTCAAGAGACCCTGTAAAGCACCGCGGTCACTGAACAGAACATAGCGCAGGCCGAGCTTCTGAAAATAGCTGACGGCAAGGTGCAGGTTAGACCTTGACGCCATAGTGATGGGCGTCTGGTCCATCCACGGTCGAAGATCAAGCGTCGTACGTGGGTCTGCGAGGGGCTGGTGAGAGAAGAAGGCTTCCGTCTCTGGCGGAAGCGATCGCGGTGGCTGCGAACACATTTGCAAGTTGTAGGTGAGTTCTGCACGGGAGATGTATCCCAGCAGAATGGCTTCACGGGGATCTGAAATAACAGGAAACCCTCTGTAGGCGTGCGTGTCGAGAATGTTCTTTAAGCTGCCAA